ACTAGTTTCAAAACACTGCAGCAAGACCTACTACGGCTAGGGCCTCTGATGCCCCTTTAGAGGCTGTTCATCATCATGCAGTTCCCTTTCCAGTGACAGAGTGCAGATGTGAAGTATTTTTCTTTTATTGCCCTCTTTTCGTCACGTGTTAGCTTTCCCTGTTAGCTCTGAATGAGCTTTTTCATATTGAGTCAAGAAGGATAAATCATTCCAGTGGAGAGAAGAGCCACTCTGCAGTTATTCTTTCCCTTCCCCCTCCTTCCCATCTTTAACAAATGTTTCATTTGTTCATCAAATTAAGCCCACTGAATCTTTGTTAGCAGCAGGTGCAATAGTTCAAGCATATGCTAACAGCCAATAACTCCCATTATGCCTCACACATGGGACAGAAAATATTAATTTTACAATTGCAGGCAAAGAGGAACTAATTGGAATTAAAGCAGAGGGAGAAGGCAACCAGCTTTTACAGTATCTTAGGTATCAAAATGGGGGGGGGGAGAGACAATAGGATCCGGATATAATAAAAAAGTGGGGCTGGAAGGGACGTCAAGCAGTCACCTAGTCCATCCCAGTGCTCTGAGGCAGGATTAAGTATAGCTGTATAAATAGGATATAGTCTTTCATTGGGATAATCCATGTGGATTATCCCAACTTTTTTTTTAGGATTTTTGTAATTAGTAGTGGGTGCTAAGCTAGGTAGGAAGGTAGGGTTTCTGGCCATTAAGAGTAGAGCAAGTCCTGACTCAACATACTTGATCCTGTTTAATTCCTCCCCTCCTCCAGTTGGTGTTTCTGCCAGCTGGTTCATGATACTGATCCCTTCAGACCAAGAATGGTGGTGAATACTTGCCTTCCTGTACTGAGGGAGTATACTCATTCCGAGTGTTCACCTACTGTAGAACACATGGACCTGCACACAGGAGTAAAGTTTATCCCATCGTTTTGGTACCATCTTCATGGTTCCAGAGATCATGAGTTCAAATTCTACACCTGGACCCAGAAATGTATCCATGGGTGGCATTGCCATGTTGAATTGCTAACGGTAACTTCCCTTAAAATGAGAGATTAAACCTCTCACCCCATCCTCAGGCAACTCCACTGGTTCACTATGCATTTCATGATCCAGTTTAACATTGCTCCTTTATTTCCAATACTCTCCATGGACTTTGTTTATAAAATGCACCAATAACCAGCCTGATCCAACCTCTCTCATGGCCCTTGCCACTCTCGCTCTACTCCCTCACCTCACCAAAGCCTAGCCCGCTATATGTCCTATCACACAAACTAGCCACTTTTGCTTATGCTTATATTTCTCTGCTTCATTGACTTTCCATCTCATCTTCAGCAGAAGAGTATCTTTCACCACCTTGCCTATACCTCTTAATTTCATTTACATTCTGCTAGTATCCATTATTTAACATTGTGAAATACAGAATTAAATATAACAATACAATTTGTATGAAGGAGATTATTCAGAGACACTTGTTGGGGGAGGCAGTGTTGCCTCGTGGATAGAGCACAGCACTGGGACTCAGGAGATCAGGATTCCTTTCCCAGCTCTGCCACTGGCCTGCTGGATGAGTTGGCTTACCTCTGCCTCAGTTTCCCTATCTGTAAAGTGGGGATAGTGATGCTGACCTCCTTTATAAAGTGCTTTGAGATCTTCCAATGAAGAGTGCTGTACAATAACTAGGTATCATATAAATCCATGTCTTTTGTTGGACCATTTTTGGAAGAGCATAGGGGTTAATGCCATTGTCCTGCTCAACATTCCTTCTTTCAGTAACAACTCAGTTTTAATACCTTAGGTCCAAATTCAGAACTGTTACATAGGAGTAAATCTGGAGTCACTCCATTAAACTGAATAGTGTTAAAATCCAGATTTTTTTTTTCCCTTGTGTAACTGAGATCAAAATCTGACATTGTGAACTATTCTGCTTGCATGGGGTCTGATCCTGCAAAGACAACAGAAGCTGAGAGCATTCGACACCTCATACTATTGGGCTTATAATAGCTGTTGCATTTGCTTGGAGGGTGTCCCGTTTTACTAACCCTGTCCTAAATCCTTAAGCCAGCCCTCTGCACAGGGACCAGAATTTATTTTTTTGGCATGTGTGCAGACTTGTCACACCTTCATTACAGGCAGGAGTGCTGATAAGAGTTCTCTATTTACTGCCCCCAGCCACTTGACCTGGGTCAGGGTTACAAAAGGTTGGCACCCCTCTCACATGACAGAGATCAGTATCCACTCACTCCAGTGGCTGCTGTCAGGTTAGGCAGCCAGTGTGCTGAGGCCACAGCCTATCCTGCAGGCCCAATGTTGTCTCCCTGCTTCCTTGTGCTCCCCGTACATATGCCTGTATCTATCAGTTGTCTTTTGCCTGATGCTTAGATTGTAATCTCACTGGGGCAGGGACTATCATTTTGTTTGGTGTTTTGTATTTGTACAGTTCCTAGCACAACAGGGTCCTGGTCCAGGAACAGGGCTCCCAGGTGCTACTGTAATATATTAAAAAAAAAAAAAGTGGAAGCTGCCCAGCCTTCAGTTGCCCTACATGATTCAGCCTTGCCGTACAGATGTCTGGATTGGATTGTAACCCCATTACCAAATCATGCAACAGCCTTGCCGTCTCCTGGGAATGCTGACAGAAGGGCTGTTAAAGGGAACTCAAACCTGTATGCCAGTGGTGGGGTGTATAACCCCTGTAATGGCTGCTACTATGTGGTTAAATGGGCAGAAAAGTTATTTCCCTAGCTGGGAGACGCAGTGCTGCTCCTAGAAAGAGAGCTTCCAGAGAGGAGACCTCCAGAGGTGAGGAGGAGGTCCGAGGGGGGGAGACCTCCCCCCAAAGCTGGAAGAGGCTCACTCTGAAAGTGGCTGCATGCTGCCACCAAACCTGAGGGGGTTCAGTGTCAGGCTGAAGGCAGGAAGTGGGCCAGGAAAACAGCAGTGAGTCTATGGAAGCAGACTCTAGCTGTTTAATTACAGGGCCCCTGGGCTGGACCCCAGAGGAGAGGGATAGTCTAATTCCCTGCAGGGAAGCAAAAACACATGACTCTGATGGGGATGAGAACTACTGAGCCCAGCTTGAGGGTGAAGGCCTGGGACAGTCATTAGATTTCTGCTTTATTGGACTCTTACCCTGGAAGCAGAGGGACCATAAGCAATTGGGCCAGAGGGCTGAGTCATGAAAAGACTTGGTGTGACCATTAACAGGGAGGGCCAAATCCAAAGAAGTTACACCATGCTTGGCCAGGAGGGGGCATGCTGGCCAATGAGTGACCCCTCTAACAGTGCCACACTAGCTTAATGCACAATTAGTTTTTAAACTGCACTTTTAAAAGGAAAGGGCATTACTGATGCTCAAAGGTCAGCCTGTATGTAACTACCCCGCTGGGGGTGGGGGTGGGCGGGGGGGAAATGCTCAGTTAATTCTTGAGGAAAAATATTACACTTACGTTGCCAAGGCCAATTTTTGGTATTATCTGTGAAGTACATGTCACCCACGCAAGTTAAACAAGCTTAAGGAGCCAAAGTAACTGATATGAGGAAGGCAAATCACACCCAGTCAGAGGATAGTGAGCAAATTCTTGGGACTCCTATAGTGGGTTGTTTGTTTTTAATTGAGGTTAAAAGGAGCGACTGCCAGTCTCCCATGGGAGCCCAGCAAGCACAGAGCAGAAGCCTCAAAACAGAACATGACTAATGTGGAACAAGGACCCTATAGTCTCACCTCATGTGAGGAGCCCCTCTGAACTCAATGGGCTACTCATGTCAGAGCTACAGGTTTGGGCTCTCGCTCTGCAAATGTACAGCTTGCTCTGAGTCAAAGTTGCTGATGTCTTGACAAAGATGCAGGCAAGAGAGTTATTAGGTTTGTTAGAGCCAATAATGTGCTAGATACTCTCCAAAGAGAAAAGAAGACCCAGTCCCCCTCACCAACACCCTGAGGAGATCAGAGCCTAAAGCCAGTCTAACTCTTGACACTAATTGCTCAGAGTTCTAGTTTGCATTCACCATCTCCCACTCTCTCATGCGCACAGAGAATGGCAACATGAAGAGCTGTCTATGCTGGGGGTTAGGTTGGCATAGCTATGACTCTCAGAGATGTGGCTTTTTCACATCTCTGGCAGACAGACGTAGCTCTGCCGATGTAAAATGGCAGCGTAGACCAGCCTGTAGAGGTGTGAGTAGGCATGCGGAGGCTTGAGAGAGACTTACCAGCGCAGGACTAGGCCACATAGGTCAGTATTGAACAAATGACCTAGGACACAGTGATAATCTCATGTATCGATACCACCTGTTACTGACCCCATTCCGCTAAGTCATACAAAAGGCCCTGAAAGGTGCTCTTTACTTAGGCCAGGTCTACACTAGGAAACTAGGTCCTTATAACTACAGTATGTCACTCAGGTGTGTGAGAAATCCACACCCTTGAGCAACACAGCTGAACTGACCTAACTCAGTGTAGACAGCGCTAGGTCAAGGGGAGAATTGCCCAGTCGACCTAGCTACTGCCTCTTGGGGAGGTGGATTACCTACACTGATGGGAGGAAGTATCTTCACTGAACGCTGTGGTGCTTAAGTATAGACAAGCCCTTATTTTAAACATTGCAGACTCTGTCAGCCAAAGACTGCTAAACTGGGTCTACAAAAAAAGAGCCAAGTGTCCCTGTTCTTAAGAATGGCCACATTGGTCTACCCAATGTACCCATCTAGCCCAGTATTCTGTTCATTCCCTTTGAAACATCTGGCACAGGTCACTGTTGGAAAACAGAATAGACAATCATCAAGTGATCCATCCCCTGTTGTCCACTCCCAGCTTCTGGCAGCTAGGGACACCCAGAGCATGGGGTTGCATCCCTGATCACCTTGGCTAACACTGAACCATCTCTTTCACCCAAATTCCAGCTTGCATGCACAAGTGAGGATTTTGTGTGACCAAATGGGAGCAAACAGACGTGATTGGTTTTTTGTTGTTTGTTTGTTTTTTTTCCAGGAGAAGGCTCCTCAGAAAATGTGCTCCTTAGTCTCTGACCTTCCTGCAGCAAGTAGATGTGAGGTTCTCCGTATTCTAATGTATTTTCTTCCTCCCACATGCTTAGGAAAGAATAAGGTGATGTTCCTTTTCTGACATAATCATATTATGTTTCTAGTTATAGTCTGTAAAACATAATAAACCAATCCAATTTATAAACCAATACCATTTGCCCAGCATTCTTCGTCCAGAGATTGGAAACAGATTTACAAAGATGGATAAGCAGGGATGTCTCTGTTCTCCCAATGGAGAAAATGAGGCACAGAGAGTTAAATGACTTGCTAACTTTGTACTGCAAGTCAGTGGCCAAGCCAGCAGTTGAACCCAAATCTGCCCCTGCTATTAGGTGCTCAAAGGATCTTGGATCTTATGTTTAAAGAACATGCATCATTATCATAATTATATTAAACGCAGGAGATACTTAATCGGGATCCAATTAGCCTAATAGCAAACTGCAATACTGCTGCCTAACTGGGATGGTAGTAACTAAAATTTCACTTAATATGGATGCATTTAGGTAATATTAAAGGGAATTCACCTATATATTATGTGCAACACTCTGAGTTCCCATATGTTAACACAGAAGCTGCAAAGTAAAGATCAAAAGAAATACTGATTAAATGTAGTCAGTGGCATTGGTTTTTGTATGTAAATTCTACACAGTATTTCATATTAGCTATTAGGGTTTTTTTTTTGAAATGCCTCCTTTTCTGGCAAGCTGATTGGCTGTCCACTCGGATGTTCTAAATAAGGATTCTGCCATAGTCCAATAGTTAATGGAGTGACTGTTGCTATATATCATTTGAAGAGATCACAACACCATCATGTACTAGGTGAGGAGTCAGATGAAAGAGGCAGAGGCACCCTGGGAAGCATCAGCTGGAGCATGCAGCACAGGGCCTTCCATTGTTGTGATGGCAGGTGGATCAGGCTGGAGGTGGCTGAGTGGATTCTCTACTATGGGGGATGCTGCCATAAAGTAGCATTGAGCTTGTGAAATAAAAACATCAGTGGGAGTCTCAGGCATAGGTGTAGATTCAGGTTAGTGTTGTTAGCGAGTTAAACGTGGCCAGAGACTGCAATGTTTAGTGATGATGATGATGCCATGAGTTATCGGAATTACTGAGCTAAAGAAATCCCACACAACTGTCCCCATTAAATCACTACTAGCAGCACTGGGCTTGGGTCTTCAGGGTTAACACTGCTAGATCTGCTAGAGACAAAGGAAAGGAGGCCATAACTGAAAAGGCTAAAATTCACCAGGAAACGAAACCTTTGTTTTCTTGCTTTGCTGTGCCTGCATGAACCGAGATACTCTCGCTGGTTAGCCAGCGAGGGTAACATGTCCCTCTAACTTGCGATATGGACTTACTAAAGAGCAGATTACTACATAACTCCCAGCACTGCTGCACTAGAGTCTCATGGAATGGTCAGGCTTCCTCTGACACCAAAGATGCTGTCAGTGCAGAAGCCTGAAAGCACATGGATGATACAAACAAAGGAAACCTGTTTCTAATGCACCTGAAAAGTTAGTGTTTCTCAGAGGATCATCCCCACTGTGCAACCTTGCATTTAAAGGGAATTGTTGCAATCAGTAACGTGCTTTTTATTTTTAAACCATTGGTGCTGACACTGCAATAAAAGCTGGTCATATCTCTAACTGATGTAGCCAAAGCCCCCCCAAAAGATTTTATTAAATGTCTGTTTTGATAGTTCATCTTTGGCTTAGGGCTTTATCATTATTAATTTGTATTTTTGTGGCACCTACACGCCCTAGTCATGGACCAGGATCCCATTGCGCTAGGTGCTGTACAAACAGAACAAAAAAAAGTCCTTGCCTCAAAGAGCCTACAATCCTAACCAGTCACCAAAAGGGAGTCAGACAGCTTTAAAATGAAGATGGGTTCTGGACAGGTCACATGACTAGTTAGATGCCCAGCCTTTCACCTCCACAGCACCACCTCAGATTGGTAGTGACTGGAAGTTGACACGCATTGAGCATTTGGCTAAGACTTTGGTGGCCTCAGACCAATTCTCAGACAGGTAGCCACAGTCTCAGAAGTGGCAAATTACTGGCCCTTCCATGGGTTTGGAGGGATAGTGTTTGGAAACTTGTATTGCTGTTCTGTGCCTAAATGAAGGAATTCATTCTCCACAGGTGTCAGTCTTACACCTGTCACTGGCATGCAATTCAGTAAAAAGAGCTTATATAAAGGGCACCAAAACATGTCATAATATTAACTACTCTTTCAAGAAGAGTATCTTTCAAGAAAAGCCCAGTCTTACAAGTTGGAGAGTGACTTAGGATCAGTCATTCTCAAAGCTTCAGCTGAGCTTGTAAAAGGTTCTTAGGATCATAGCAGTTAAAGATAAGAAATATTCAATTACATCAAGTCCCTCCCCTAGCAAGGGGAGAATATAGTCCCCAGGAATTGATAATGTCACTAAAAGACAGAATATCCAGGATCCCAGACTGAATAAAGGATATTTCTCTGGGGTCCTTAATGCTTTTTCTTTTTCTCATTCTCATTGGATACTTTTATAAGCTATGAAAAGAGAATGGGAATTTCTAGGCCTTTCTGTAAATGAAAGGTTGGAGCACCTTGCTCCTGTAAAATTAAAATCTACCACTTGGGAAACCCAATTACAGCTGTGTAAACTACCAGGATCTCCTTTATGGCAGAGTTTTGTTGTATAAACAGTATTATAGTTCTAATATTTCCTGCTTTTATCATGGAGGCGGGAAATAGCCTTTGGCCTTAACTAAACAGAGGGATTTGGCCGTGGTATAACTCCATCACTGTAGTTTCAAACAAGGGTAAGCCATCTTTGTGCAAGATCCATGTTACACTGCCCCAGAATATCTATCCTGGGGTATTGCAATGAGTGTAGAGCCACACCAGAGCAAACAAAGCCCTGTGTAGACACAGCTTTTGTGAGAGGGTGAAGGATTATTAAAGACAAGAAGATGTTGCTCCAAGAGGTTTTAGCATCTTACAAAGGCTGTACATTGTTTTCTGCTCTCCTGATCAGTTTTTGGCAAATGGAAGAACTACAAAATAAAGCCAGCTGCTGTGAAGGGTGGTCTGGAATACTCGGGAGAATACTTAAAAAGAGAACAACAAAAGGTAAGCCCTGTGAGACTCAAAGGTACAGAAATCAATTCTGCCTTTAAATGGTAGGTGGGTTTGGTTTGGTTTTTAATTCAGGGAGGTAAAATGTCATGCTACCAACCTGACATTGGTCTCTTCTGACCACATTGGGAAGAAGTGGCAATACTGGTGGATCCCATCAGTCTGAAGTAAGATCAAAGCTGTGTAGAGAGAGGTACTGTAAAATGTTGGGTACCAGATCTAAAGGAGCCATGCATACTTACACCAGCTGAGTATCTGGCCCATTTCATACACACCCTTAATGTCTTACATAATCAAAGAACAGTTTCCCCAGATGTTTTAATGGAGTGCTTGTCGGTTCATTTTTAGGCCCTGTCCACAATGGAAGCAGAACCCCCAGTTTGGGGAATATACCTCTGGTCTGGACCCAGCGTACAGTGCGCTCTGGAGGGCTGGTTGGTGGTTTTTAATAACCATCCTGTAAGATTAAGTCTGATAGCAACACACCCCTAACTAACAAGACAAGTACAGTTGTTCTGCAAGCCATATTCCAGCTATGGATGGATGAGCCTAAACCAAAGCCCTAAGTGGTGATTTGAATGAGAGTTCACAGCACCAACCCATCTCTATAATGGGCCAAATCAAGCACCCTGGAATATGGGAAACTTCAGATTTGGATCCAGATTTCTATCCCCCATTTTTAAGTGTTTAGATATAGAGTTTTGGAGTAGGCCCATCATAGAGATATGGTATAAATGGAGTCACTCCAATGAAGGCACAGCAGCTACACTGATGTAAGACCAATTTAAGAATAGAAATAGGCCCAGAAAGTTCACATCTGGGTTTCTTGATCCATAGCTCAGACCTGAGCTTTATGGGTGGGTGCCATCTCTACTTACAACAGCAGTGTCTAGCTGTAACCGTATTAGAACAGTTTCAAGCAAGGTTACCAGCGCTTTGGTGTGGACATTACATTTAATAATAGCTATTGTCTGCTTTTTAGAAATTGTTTTCCTCTTAGAAGATAAATGAATCGATAACTGCATAAAACTCACTCCCATTTCTCGTTTGTATTGGTGGTTGGCTGTTTTTAGAGAATGAAGACTCTCTCCCATGCAAAAAATGTAATTGTATAAGGAAGATTTGTTTCAACACAGATATGCAGGAGCCATTCCAAAGAGACTTTTTTTTTATAGATCACAATGCAACTATAGTAATCATGCAGGGAAGTTAATGGCACCCAGCTGAATTCTGCAAAGACATTACAAAGAAGAGTCCAATAACCTGAGTGACAAATTAATCTTACAGTAGAATTATTTAAGTCTTCTAATCTGTTGAGAGAGGATTTACTGGCGCAATACTACACAAAGCTGTGGTACTTAAATGCACTTATAATTTGTTAGTATATCTGCTTTAGAAAATGTTCATCACCAAAATTTGTATGACTGTTTGGGTTTTTTCCCCATATGAAGTTTTATGGGTAGAAATAATTATTCTCACTCTCACTAGTTAACCCCCATTGCCCCACACACTCACTCTCACTCACTCTGCAACAAAGCCCTTCTCTAAAGGTAAGCATCCAACATAAATTCCCACTCTTGGGTCACAGTTTCCAGCAAATGTTGTAGGAGCACTTTACAACAACTTGACTTATGAACCCCAGGGGAGAAGAGCATAACTGGGGGTCAATCAATTCTGACGCCTGGAGCTGGCAACAAAAATTTCCCCTGAATGCAAAACTCCAGGTCCAGCATAAAATATACTTGTGCAAAGATTCATGAATAAAAACATGTCTGGTTTATAAACGTTAAAGGTCAAAGCCTTATTTTTTTCTTCCTCCCATTTATTGCAAAACTGGAACATCATTACTCACAAAGGGAGTTAAAAAAGAGGCAATTACATTTTTATCTTAACTCTGTACGAAGTCAATTAATATATTGTGTCAGTTTCAAGAAATATTCAAACAGTTTATTTAGCTGCAGTTTTTGCCTGAAAAGCTGATAACTAACATGAGCAACTGAAGTTCCTGATCCATCAAAGCACTTAAGTGGGTGCTTAACTTTGGCTTCAGTGGGACTACTCACCTGTTTAAATGTGTGTAAGTCCATTGCTGGACTGGGACCTGAGTCTCCACATGCTCTTCTTGTCAAGCTTCAGGCAGAGTGCTCATTACATCCTGATGTTGCTTTGCCATGTTTGTGCTGTGATATTACAGCAGTTTAGAACTGTTCAGAAAAAATTCAAAGCTTTTTTTGGTCAGAATGTGCTAATACGTCAATCTAAACATCCTGTGGGACTGTGTCCCCAGCCCTCTTAAAGGGCCAGTTCACCCTGTGTCAAGCAAGAAACCTGAACATTTCAAGACAAGAGCAAGCAAGCCAAGCAGAGTGACTGTGTGATATGCATGACTATGTGATGCAATATCTGTGATGCCACTGGATTCAACAACCTGATCTTGTGGTGGGGTTGACAGTGGGATTTCGGCACTGTTAATGTCCTCATTCTGGGGGAGCTGAGAGTTTTTTCACTATCAAGAGATGCATTTCACCACATTAACACACATAACTTACATTTTTAGTGTGGGGGCTGTGCAAAAAGCCTCTAATAGTTATGCAGTTTGTTAGCTCATAGCAGATGCAATGTTTGCTGTTTTGTTAAGGCCCTATCTGGAAAACCCATTGACTGGTATGGGATACCTCAAGGGAGGAAAGTTATGTGTATACAGGGGTGGCAGGCTTGTATAATTTTTGGTGGTGCCTAGAATGGGTCCAAGACCCACCCCCTGCACGCGTACAAACACACGCTTGCCTAAAGCTCTGGGAGGGAGTTTGGGTGTGGGAGGGGTGCAGGTTCTGGGAGGGAGTTTGGGCACTCGGTGCGGGCTCTGGGCTGGGGCAGGGGGAGAGGGTGAGGGATGCGGCACTTACCTCAGGCAGCTCCGGAAGGCAACCCGCATATCCCTCTGGCAGCAGCTCCTAGGCCAGGGGATCTCTGCACGCTGCTGCCCGCAGGCATCACCCCCACTGGCCACAGTTCCTGGCCAATGGGAGCTGTGGAGTTGGCGCTCGGGGCGGGGGCAGCATACACACCCCCCCCTTCCAGGGGCTCTAGTGCCATTCCAGCCGCTTCCGGGAGCAGCGCAGAGCAAGGCCTAGCCCCATTGCGCTGCCGGTGGTGGCCGGGTTCCCCCAGGGCCCTTTTTAAATTGCCTGGGGGTGGCAGGCAGGGCCAGGAGATGCTCCAGGAAAGGTGCACAGATGGGGCAGGAGGAGAGACCCAGTCGCAAACATTGGTGGAGCCGGGCCCTGAAAATTCCTGGAGCATAAGCACCACAGGCCCATATAATTTGCCACCCCTGTGTATATAAACAGTTCCAGGGTTAGGGCCTTAGTTCTGCATTCAATTTCTGTGCTTAGGAACAGACTTACTTTGACTATTTCAAGTAGCATTATATACATTGAAGATACCAGCAGTACACACACCCCTTTAGATTTAGCATAGCTAGTTATTGCTGAGTGATTGGATGATCTAAATCAGGAAAGGTAGGTATAGGGTTCCAAGTCAAACTGAGTATATCACCACTGATTAAATATACCTTTCATGAGCAAATACCTCCTAACTACTGAAGTATTAAACAAATACATTTTTAAAATAGTCTTTCCTTTGTATTTTTAGTCTGAAAATTAGAAAAAGGAGACTATGTGCAACAGTCAATGGCAATATATAAGGTCAGAAGAAAACTCTGACATAGCAGCAAACTGCTTTTTGAAACAGCGCCTCTTCCATATCTCTGGGCCCTGATTTAGACTGTATAGCCCAGCCATTTATAAACCAATATTTATTTCTTTATCACCATTATTGGGATTATGGAATTAATTGTTCTGGGAATATTGGATACTCATTAAATAGTATAATGAAAATATACTACACAGGGCCACAATTATGTTTATTACACTTATTAGAACAGCAGGATAATGTCCTCAAAGTTATGATCTGTCTTGGATGGTATAGACCCAACAAATCCTGCATCTTGGCAGGGGGTTAGCCTAGATGACCCTTGCGTTCCCTTCTAGCCCTATGGCTCTATGATAGCCTTATGCTTACTTGTGACCAGCAAAGACAAATGTGGCAAACCAAGTTCTGCTCTGATTTATACAAAGAGTGGAATTTGGCTCTCTATCTCTGCTTGTCATTTGGAGTATACTGAGGGAAAACTCTGGTACTGGAAATTAGTTTCAGTGCCCACTCTTTCCCTGAGCATCATTACTGGATCAGACACAATTGTCTGCTTTTTTTTTTTATTATTATTTTCATACTCCCTGAAGTGACAGGTGTCTCACCACAGTAACTGAGAGCAGAGTACAATGCAGTAAAAATTACTGCACAGATAACTATGCAAACTGGAAAAAGAGAATGCTAAAGGAAACCTCACAAAGCACCATTCAGTTCAGCAAATAGCAATACATGTTCAGTGTTGTAGTGTTTATGTTGGCAAGCACTTTGCTTAATGGCAACGGAGAGACCCGTTAGTTAATAACAACATCTGCGTTTTATAGAGCACTTTTTATCAGTAGATCTCAAAGCACTTTACAAAGGAGGTCAGTATCATTATCTTTATTGTACGGATGGGGAAATGAAGGCATAGAAAGGGGAAATGACTTGCCCCAGGTCACCCAGCAGGCCAGAACTAGCCAAGCATCCAAGTCTTCCGATTCCCCGGTCAATGCTTTAGCTACTACACTACACTAAACATCTTGATAAGTTGATACCTAACCCAGAACAATTGTTTTTGTTCTACTTAAAAGGGATTCACTACTCAGGTAAGCGGAAGGGTACGTACACATAAAGTTACATACACATTGTCAAGGATTTCCTTATAAAATAGTGAGATGTGGGATTCTTTCGTCTCAGACAGGGCCAGATCTTAAAGTGTTTACTCGGTGCATTCCCACTGTCCTGACAGCTTGCACGAGTGAGTAAAAACTGAGTATTTGACCCATATGTTTTATCTTCCAGTACATAACACAGCGCTAATGTGGATTGGGGCTTACTATGTCATGCAATATGTTTCCTTGAGTAATACTCTCTACCCACCAAAGCCATAATTTGTTGTCAGCTGGTATTGAACTATGGACCTCCAACACCTAAGCCTCTTGAGCCAAAGGAGTAACTCCATTAGCCAACAGCTGTTGTAGACGCAGCTAATACAGCCATTTGTGAGGGACAAAGACCACCACACTGTCCTACACTTGAATATGCCAATAAAAGCTACATTAACTCCATGTGTTTGCTCAGGCTGGCTGAGGTTTAATAAAGGCCAAAAAAGAGATCAAATGTTAGATTTCTTCATTGCTCATTTCACTTGTAGACTTTGATATACTGTCCCCAAAATCATGTCATTAATGATAATTCCAAATGAGCTGGATTGCAGAGCCCTCATCCTTCTGCATCACCAACATGTGTCAGAATTATTACCAAGCTGCTTTAACTAGAGAGGAATAGAGTCTGAGGTTGATAACACAGGGAGAGATTATTCCTCTTTGAGATGTGAACATTTATCAAGGATAGCTGTACGTCCAGTTGTGCTTTCCAGTCCTCCAGAGAGCTTGACACTGAAGTATAAAATAGTCTAGATGTTAGGAATAATCTAAGAGAAGCTAGTATGTTCCCCTGATAATATACTCACTTGCTTTGGAGTAGTTATTTGTGAAAGAAACTGTGGATCACTATTGTAGCTGAAAATATTGAGAGCCATGTCTATTTTGCAAGTTATATTGTTTCAATTATTTTAATGACCTTACACTGTTGCTAGATCTGATATCTTCACTCTGTCTCCAAAATTTGCCACTGTGAAAATTAGTGTGTGTATTCCACCGGGGGATGCCTGAGTGACCTGTGAATGAGTTCCCAAAGTTCTTTTGATTGCTTTCCACACTCAGCAATTATAATTTCCCAAACGACTGAAGCCTCTGATGAGATAAAATGCAACAAGTCTTTGTCTTCTTTGTTTATAAATGCCATGTTAACGTGGATAGCTATGCAGATGGTTACTTTTAGACCATCCAAGGATGTGTCATGTTGTCTGATTTTAAGGTGAAGCCAATATCATTCAGTCTCTGCAGCCAGGCGGACACACATATCACTTAATTACTTTGTTAGAGGCTAGGGTGCGGGTGTTAGTGCAGTAAGCTCATTTTATGACTTCTTGGACACAGCTGCTAAGGTGAGGAAGATGAGGTGTTGTAGAGATCCTATTCCTCTCAGGTGACTTGTTTGTTCAAACAGTAGCTCTGGATTTAATATTATGAGGCAGGAAAGCCAAGCCTCAGGGGCACAGTTAAAGGCCCTTCCTTCCTGCATTCTCTAGGGGTACTAAAGTAACCACACGGGAGTCTATCCTTCAGGCTCGTATAGACATCTCCACTTGTTGTTGACAACAGCCTACTCAGATCTTACTGGCAGCTAAGGTTTCTTATACACTGAGGAAACTAAAAGGCAGACATAAATCAGAATAGGAGCTGTGGTAATGGTAATGGTGTTAGCTATGCAATTGCAGGCCACTACCTGCCTTATCGGTCGTTGACCACTAAGTAATGGTGCTGACATGGAGTGCTTACCCTACAGTTTCAGAGTAGCAGCCGTGTTAGTCTGTATCCGCAAAAAGAACAGGAGTATTTGTGGCATCCTACAGTGGTAATTAACTCCTCTCTTAGATCCCAGGAATGACCACCTGCACTTAACAGTGTCTGTGACACCTTTATTTAAAGGAAGATCTTTATATTCCCATTGA